TCCAATCTATTCGTGGGGAGCAGCACGTGCTGGAAACCGGGTCCAGCGTCCCGCATGAATTATTACACAACATATGAGGTGCCGGGGCCATTACCCGGCTTCGGCTAGTAATCTTTTTTTGATGAAGAACTAAAAAATTGAATACTATGGGCTTCGGCTAAGAATCTTTTTTTTATGAAGAACTAAAAAATTGAATACTATGCTATATCAGCCATTCCAGCTTCCTAAACATAGAGCAACTCCTAGCCCTCCCTTTACCGGGACATTACTACTCAAAGACAGTACTGACCAGACCAACATCATCCATAGCTGACCTCTTCTCACCACCAAGACTATCCCCGACCCCATAGGGTGTCAAGGCGCTCCCCCACAATTCGCCACTGGCTTACCTTCCTCCCTCGGCAAACCCCAGATCTCTCTACAAGGCCTCACACTCCTGCCGTTGCAGGTTACAGGGTAACACCCCAGCTCCGGCCAGCGTCGTTCTGGCATCGGCAAACTGAGGGCACAGAAAAGAGCAACTCTGCCGGTGTCAGTCCAGGTATAACCATCTCTGAAATCGAATATCCTAATGAAGAAGAAGACCAGATGCTGCTCTAACTTTCAGAACCCCGGAAAGCTTAATATAACATATTTTGTCTAAGAAGCTTCCAAGAGTCACCGCGCAGAAAAAATCCCCCCTGCCCACGAACCCTGTCCCATGCTGCCACCGCCGAGGAAACCCACCTCGGCCCCAACCTGGAACAGACCCCCTCCTTCCCCCCCATCCGCAAAGGCAGCCAATTCCCTCCTAGAGGATACTTTCGCCCTCCCCTTGTCCCTATCTGCCCCCGCCGGGGTTGAAGGTGACCAACTCTCCCACCCGGCCCCAAACAAGAACAAAACCACAAATTTGTCCCACCCCCGACAGGGCTGCCGCCTCCCACCTTGCGGCGCCCCTGTAAAGTAAGGCTCCCCAATACTAACCCCCACCCTTCCCCCAAGAGTCTGAACCGTGACCACAAAAACCCTATCCCGACTGAAGCACACCCATTAAATGAAACGGCCAATTAACCTAGAGAAAGATCTTATGAACTGGTGCTTTAAGGGAATTACAAAGATGAAGATGTATGTAGCCAGCCTCTTTTTTATTTTTATTTTTTTTTAAGTACTTTTCCGGCCCAATGGCGCTTTCTCCTTCTCCCACTCACCTCATTTCTTTTTTAGAATAGACTGTCGGGGTCCTAAATGAAAATCCAAAAATCTCGACCTCCCTAACAAACTTTTCCAGAGTTCCTCAAAGTTGTCTTACTCCCTGCTGAGCTCTTCCAGGCCTCACACCCCCACTTCCTGCTGGGTTACAAGGCAACAAAACTCGCCCCAGCTCTGCCAGCGTCATCCCAGCAGCAAACCTTTGTTGTTCTGTGAGATGCCCACCCCAAAGCATCCCCAGATCTCTCTACCAGGCCTCACGCTCCTACGTCAACAGGTTACAGGGCAACACCCCAGCACCGACCATCGTCGTTCTGGCATCGAACAACCGCAGATCACGTAGTATAACAACTTCAAAGCAGCCTGGGAAAAGTTGATAGAAGCCCCAGAATCGTAAACAATCTCAAGTCCCCCTTAATGGCCAAACAAGATAAAATTAAAAAAAAAAAGGGATCAAAACTAGAAATTAATACCAACTATCCTAAAATCCCCCTCTCAACCAACAGACGTCGGTCCCGGCTTTCAGACCACGTACCAGAACTCACCTGGAGTCATACCCCTCTCTGCTATGGTAACAGGGCACCACAACCCACCCCAGTACCGACCAACCTAGTTCTGACGGACAGGAAGTGCCTTCCTCCCTCGGCAATTCCTTTAGCGGCAAACCCCTAAACAGGTTACAAGGTCCACACCCCGGTGCCAACTACGTTGGACGATCTGGTTATGCCTTCCACCCTCGGAATAACTCCATGGACCTCAAGCTCCCCCTAGGTCACAGAGCACAGCTCCAGCACCGGTCTATGTCGTCCCAGCATCGTCCTCCTGACCTACTCACCTTAACCGACATCTCCCGTCTATTGAAAGTCCCCTTTCATTCTTTCCATCCACCCATTCTAGTTTTCCCCTAGGCAACCATCAATCGAAAAAGCACCACCACAATCGTAGATCTTTTCATCGAAAATCATATCTGTATCGTTTTTTTGAGAAATGAACTTCAAAGATGAGATCAATTAGTCAGTAAGTAATCAAGGTAATTTAGGTCATGAATTTTTGGCATCCAATGCAGAACGAAATTTTGAAAAGAAAAACTAAATAGGAAGTAGATTCTGATGTCCTCACAGACTTTCGACTCTGATTTCCAAAACCCTGGTTCAAGAAATCGCTCAGACTGTAAATCAAGAATTACTAAACAGAAGGAAAACAATCGACAATCAATTAAGAGGGAAGGCCACTCAGACAGTAATCAAGAGATTCTAAGCCAGAACGAATCGACGATCAAGACAGTAAATGAGAAAAACGCAATAGAGAAACAATTATGATGTCCATCCGGACTTTCGACACTGATTTCCCGAACATAGAGTTCAAAAAAACGCTCAGACCGTAGATCGGGAAGATGCTAATCAGAACAACGCTCAGACCGTGGATCAAGAAGATGCTGAACAGAAAAGAATATCATATGAATAACAAGGATTACAACGTAAAAAAAATAAACCAATGACACCAATATTGGATCATTATCATTGGATGAATCGACTTAGAATGACCATACAAGCAATACAAAATCAAGAATTCCATATCCAGAAAAAAAAAAAAAAAAGTTCAGCAATACTAGTTGTAGGTGCGTAGCAAATCAGACAGATATCGAGACAGACAAACACCATCTAAGAATCTCCTCGTTAAGAATCCATCAAGGCCAGACTGAAGAGGAAGAACAACTTACCCTTGACAACCCTAAATACACCCCCCCCCTCTCCAAGCCTCACGTCCTCGCTTCATCAGCTCTTCAAGCAACTCGGCCGCTTGTGATTGACAACCATTCAACCAACCAAATAGACCGAACGATGATGATAATAGGACCGCAACTAGGATTGTCGTCGCAGCATACCAAACCACGTCGCGAGATTAAGCCGCTGAGCCTGCCAGCCGCCCCTCGCAAGTAGCCCGAAGAGATGAGGGGGAGTCCACGTTGCGAATGCCATCCTCCCCCTTCTTCTTAGTAGCCCTCTCCCTCCAGCCCGTGAAACCCTTACCTCCCCTGTTCTCCCACCCACCGTATTCCTCCTCTCCACTAAGCCCTTGATGTGAGATGCACTGCCCAACGACGTCCAGACACACCCTCTCCCATCACCTCCTCACATCAACCTTGCCGTCGCAGAGCTCCCGCCGCTCCTCGTTCCTACTCTTTCCGCAAGACCCACCGTCGCGTCCACCCGCCTCCTCCTCGCGTCAATCTTGCCGTCGCAGTGCTCCCGCCGCTCCTCGTTCCTGCTCTCTCCGCGAGGCCCGCTGTCGCGTTCAAACGTCGGGCGGCGGAGCGCTCGCCGCCCCCCCAACCCTGCAATCCAAGCCAGGGTCGTATGTAGCCAGCCTCACCACCACTCAGCACAGATATTTAGGGGAAACTATGCGGGAGTCACAAAAATGACTTATAATTTCATAAGTAAATAGATGGAGAAGTAGCCAGTATTGTCATGCACA